TTCTGACAAATTAACATGGGAAAGAGTTCGCCCTCCAAATGTGACATATAATTTTGGGCTGCTGATTTACTTGCTTGATCTTGTCAAGGGGTTGGGCATGCTCCCTGTTACATCTCATCAAGTAAGCACTTGATAGAGCTGTGTGAAGAACCTTGGTATCTAAACCAGCTACTTCAAAAATAAAGGCTATTTTATAAAAAGCAGGATTTACACTTTCTAGCTCTGCATTGCAAAGTTGCAACCCATGCTCCAATTGTTCATCTCCATCATAGACTTAGACTAATGGTGCAAAGAGAAACCTGTGTCTCCATGTCTTAGCTACACCACATTTGTGAACTACAGTAAAGCCTTCATGAGTGCCACAGCTGGGGGATACAGCCTCCTGTGCAGGAGCTCCCACACTGCCAACCTTCTGCATCGACTCATCAGTCTCAGATGCAGTATTACACAAAAGCTTGAAGCTGTGTTTTAATTTAAACTCCTAACTACATTCTTTTCTTCTATCGGTTTGTATTTCCTTTCTCTCCCAATCCCCTTTCAGATACCACTGGATGAACAGTTTTGTAAACAAAAAACATCATGCAGAGGCCAAGCCAAGAAGTGGAAAAGCAGGCTTCACAGCTCTTTGGCTGACCAGCCAACCAAGGCACCATGCCAAAATAAAACACTCACTTTGCAGGCTATATATGACCCTACAGGCTGTGCATTCTGTAGGCCTGTTCTTTAAAGCCTTTCAACTTCTGTAATCACAGGCAAAACTGGAAGCCTAACCAGAATCAGTGGGAAGTTTGCCCAAGTAAAAGCTGGATGAGTGAATTCCATATGTTGCATATTCCGCAATCCTCTGACGAGACCCAAACCATAATGTCTTTCAAAAGAAATTTCTGCTGCATTAGCAGTGAGGTGAAGGTTCAACTGCTTTTTGGAAAGAACTATCTTTATTTGTATGCAGCTGGTTATTTGATATGTATGAAAAAACAACATCACAAAAGAGGGAGAAAATTTTAAATTGTTTCATAAAGAATTATTCATCTATTGCACATCCAGGACTGTCTCAATGAAATCTCAAGATTAGAAATACTGCTGAACTGTTCCATGAATGAGACTTTATATGAATAATAATACTCTAGAATTGCAATATATAGTTTCACATTCTTTTTTTTTGAGAGAGTTGTCAAAACATTATGGAAGGGGGGAAAATATTCCCCATATTTTAGCATCTTTATATGAGTGAGTAAAGTTCACTCTCATTGAAAAGAACCAATTCCCTTCTGCCTGCACAAATGCTACCAGGTAATTTTGAACGTTTTCTCCGTGCACATATTTAAGTTCATCAATCACACGCTGACATAAATTACAAAGTAAAGGCTGAGACTGCAGCACCAAGTGCTTCACTGCAGTGACAGAGCTTCCCACAAATTGCTGCTTTGCTACAGCTCAGGTTTGCAGAAAAGTTTGACAGTTCTGTCTGCAAGACTACTGTTATGCACAGCTCTTGAGTTCCTTAGACCCTAAAGAAACTAGGGGAAGTATCAGTGCAGAAGACAGTGGCCACACATAAAGAACATCCATCTGGTTTTCTGTGACATCCTACTTTTCTGTTATTGGGGTATTTTCCTCTTGCCACAATTCCTCCATTCTCAGGGTTGGCAGGCACAAGAAGGCTGCACAAATCAAAGCTGCAACTATTTGTACAGTTTTCACTAGACAGAATGATACGAGAAAGGTGTATATTTACTACAGGTGTTTATTTATTACATCTTACAAGATGTAAGATGCAATACATTCTTTCAGGAACTAATTCCACCCTGTAGATTCTTGATTAGTGAAGAAGCAGAATGAATTACTCTGGTGCACTTAGAAGATGCAGTTTCCAGTGTCACAGTTGTCTCTGTGTGGCATCGCATTCCACTGCAGCACTGGCTCCTGTATCTTAGTGTCCTAATTCAGTCCCTCAGATCTGGCTACATCTGAATGTAAAGAAACTAAAGGGTAAAGTAGGATAAGGTATCTGAAAATTACAAGTAACCATCTCTCTATGCTTCTCTAACTAAAATGTAGAGATTGTTCTGGGATAAAAAGTTTTGAATAATTGTATGAAATAACATGCATGGGAGAACTCTAACGTGGCACAGAATAGGAAACAGTCACAGTTAAAACTCTCCAACTTCAGAATATCTTCTTGCTAGAAGCCTGTTTAAGATGCTTTATGAAGAATAAACTGCAGAGTCATTACCTCTAAGTGGAAAGGCATTTTTTCCTCTCCCTGTTATACTTGTTATAAATCTGTGGCATACTTACCATAGGAATCACAAAAGCAGCCTTTAGCATTACACAGGATATGCTGAATAAAAAAGCACTACAGAACAGTATATTGAAATGATAGTTTTAATGCACAAGTATTGTAAATCAGTTAACTTCATCAGAACTGAAATACATATAAAAGTAAAAAATTCTGGTTACAGGTGAGCTCTCTGCTGTACATATGTATATATTATGACCAATACAAGGCAAAAAGCATCTGATGACAAAGATTGCCATACATCACTTTTATCACAAGGTGGTGCCAGTGACCTATGATCACATTCACTTTACAAAACTTGGACAATATTTTGCTTTGTCACCCGAAAGCTGTTAGTGCACTTTTTACATGTAAAAATAAACAAAAAATGGCAAAACAGCACAGTAACTCCCCTTCCCCTTGGCTCACAAACTGCTGCATTTCTTCACTCAAAATAATCACTTCAGCCTACCCTGGAAGTTTTCAACAGGCATTAGCTGCACTTCTCTAAGTTATACCAGTTCTTGCCACAGTCCTGTCTAAAACATTTAGTTTAAAAAGAATAGGGCACACTGATAATTAGATGTTGTTGATATGCTATTTTAACTCCCTAAGCTTGAGGAACATGGGAGCAATTCTCTAATAAGAGGTAATGAAATCTCTACCATAGAAACTCAGAATTTATGTATAGAATGCAGACAAAACAACAGGTTTTCTTTTACATGCAGCAGACACTTAGTATAGTAATACATACTAACACACTTAAATGCACTTCCATGGCAACTTAAAATGGAATTGGTAACACATAACACAAGTGCAGCATTTTATCTTTGGCAGACAGCTCAGAGGAACTTCAGTAGTATCTTGTACTTCTATCAGTAGTACTCCTATCATCCACTACAATTAATGCAAAGTATTAATATTGCATCCAGTTCTCTCTGTACATGAAGCAGATAGCTGTGAAACCGTTTACTCTTCCAAAATCACTCACTCTCAATTTGCAGCAGTGTGATTTAGGTTTATTATAGTAACTTCTTTGATCTCAATATTTTGAGTTGCATATGTGATATGACACTTCATTGTAATTTATACATAAAGTAGTAACAGATTTTAACTACACTGATAAAAAGATGATTACAGATTTTTTTTTACATAAATATATGAATTATATTTTAAAAAAAGAAAGAGCTTGGCTTAACATGAAACAAACTCTCTTCCTTAACATTTCACTATTTGACAGTATTTAGGATCCCCTTCCACCAAGAAAAATGGAGTGGAGATAATATATCCATTCATGATTGATTGATAAACGTCAACTGTCTACAAAGCATTTGGTATGTCTTGTGTAAGATAATCTCAATAGATATATCCTTCACCCATCAACATTAATGTGAATTCAGACTTTCTACAGGATTAAACATGTAAAACACACAAAAAACCCCAACCAAAAAAAAAAAAAACCACAAAAACAAAAACAAAACAGAAAACCAAACCAAAACAAAAAAAGCAGCACACTATGCAGCTCCAGCAGCTAAAAGTCAAATACACTATGACCTGGTGAAATCTTGAGTGTCCAAGTGTGCTAAATTTAGCAGTAGCCCATTCTGTTCTTACATACTAGAGCCAGACCATCCACATGAGATAAGTTGGATGTCTAACTCTAAACCACTTCAAAGGTGAAACTGCAAAATTAACGTTCAAGATTGGCATTTCAGAAGTGATAAATGTGACCTTTCCATCCACTTATGTTACACACAGTGACAAGCTCAGAGGAGATCCTCAGCAAGCAGTATGCAGCTGGAGGTCAAGAAACCTTCATTTATTCACTAAGCAAACACATGATTTACACTTGGTATAAAAGGTGAAGGGAAAACTCAACCCAAGTAAATAAATCAGAAATGTTTTGCCCTACAGAATTGCAGTATGATTATAGGATTACGGCTTGAGAGACTTGACTTTCTTGAGTCTTCCTAAAAGGAGAGAAAAAGGGAATATCGGGTTTTTTGTAGGCACTTTTCATTAGTGGGCTCATGGAAAAGCAACATGACTCAAAATATGACAAAAGTAAATACAAGTAGTAATTTGAAGAACTTACTTTACCTCAAAATATGCAGTTCTAAATCAGAGAAAACTTTCAAACTAAAAACCAAATTCCTACTTCACAAAAAGCCCTTTAAATGTCAATAGTCATGACTGTTTTGTGGGTGGCGGTATGGAACCCCAAAACAAAACCCCTACCAAAATAAATCTGGAATTTCCCTTTTCCAGTACCCTGCACATTGGAACACTTACAGCCTTTACAGTAGTAGCCTCATAGGCCAGTACTACCATGCTGAGATGTCAGAGGTTTACCTTAATTCACCCTACTTATTCCCATACTACCTTAAGAGAAGGCATAGTATAAAAGAATATATACTTTAATGACTTCTTTGGCTTATGTTCACACAGCCCTGAATCCCAGGCATTGCCCAAAGGCACTGAAGTAGCAAAGAAGAAACAGCTGTGCAAGCAGGGCCTTTACACTCTGTGGCACTTGTCTGCATATGAAACACCTGTATCAAAACTGTGTTATGGTGGCTTAATAGAAACTCTTTTTTCCACTCTTTTCAAAATCAAATGCATCCATGTAAGCACTCTCTGTCAAATCAACATGAAACGTAAATACCATTACATTTTTGGCCCTTTAAAGGCACACTTGGCTAAGTGATTTGTAGGCAAAGTGATTTGTAGGCAAAAGCTAACATCTGGCATTATGATACAGAGGCATGAGTACACATATACAGAAGTATATTGAGAACCAAAGTCTGTAGACACAGCAAGTAAAGCAAGCACAAAGTCTTTCCTCTGCTCAGCCCATTCATTTTGCAGCAGGATTCTTAGGAGGTTGAAGTTTGTAGGTGCTGAAGTAGTTCACCACTTGCTGAGGGACTTCTGCCAGGACACACTGAGCCAGAGCTTCTTTGGGAGACTTATAAAAAAAGAACACCAAGCTTCAGTTTCCACCAACTGCTAATGAAGATTCTAAGGCAAGTAATAAGCACCTCCTCTAGGAGGCCAATTTAAAGTCTGACATTTTACAGAGGATTTACACAGTGCCCTTGTATGACAGACAGATGGAAGCTTCCCTCTTACCTTCTCACTCCTGTTACCATGAATCAGATGGCTGTCTTGTGCCATCTGAAGTAACAGGATCTGAGTAAAGGGCTGCCATGTCTGAAGACACCTTTTGTCACATGAAATATGCAGTGCAGATATCAGACTTCAACCATGCAAACATACTTCCACTATCTGCTTAAGATGACCCTTCAGGGATTTGTCTAAATCATCTGCAATCTTTTGCATCAAGTCTCATCCACAACAACTATGGATGAGCAGCTATGAGTATTTCTATGGAGCAGCTCTTCTGTAGATACTGTTTTTACTGTAAGACTAAATATCCATAAGAAAAAAAAAAAATCTTTCTCTAGAAACTGAAAGCATTTGAATATATAATATACTGAGCAATGACCCTAGTTAATCTACATCCAAGTGCATTACTTGATAAGCATATTCTGTATTGATTTTGCTTTCTCATTTCAGTTTGCCTGAGTTACTCAGATTAAACTAAGAATTTCTATTAAAAGTAAAAATATAAAAGCAAAATAAGAAGTTGTAAGGGGTATTATTAACAAGTTAATACTAAGACATGAAAAAAAATTAGAATATATATTAGGATGGAAATAAAAATATTGATATTATTTGCCCATCCTGAGGAAATTTTGGTGGTTTTTACTTAAGTCAACTATTTTCAACATTATGACGTTTAAAATTTGACTTCCATTGGCCTACACATACATTCTTGGATTTTACAGAAATTAAAGAATACCAGAACTTCATTCTTTCACCACCTTTTTTTTGGTATTTACTTTTATAAAAATGAAAACTACCACTACTACCACGGTCACAGAGAGTTTCTACTGATTTTGACCTCCCTGATTATAACTTAACCTTGAATTTTAATACTGCACTAAATTGTGAGACTAATTCACATTCATAAATGGGCATCCACAATAAAAATAAAAATTACCATAAGAAAAAAGTAATAGTAAGTTTTTCCTCACAAATAAAAAAATTATCCATTCACTTAATCAAGTCTGAGGGAGTTTACAAGGGTCATTCAGGTGCAGAAACTAGCCAGGAATGCAGTGCTGGAACTAGAAACTGAGGGATTTAGGGGGTTTTTTTGTATTTGATAAAGACTTGTCTTAAGAGTACATATTGGATACACCACACAAAAGCTTAGGATTAGATGCAGGACATCCTAGCAAGCCCAGCATGCTTCTACAATATTTATTAAGCGTATCAGTAAGATTACTTACATTTTGGAACTTCCTGAATGGCACAAATTGGACAATGTCTCTGACAGCTGGTTCTCCTGACGAGGACCTAAGAACTCCATCGTCACCATCGAGAAACTCCATGGCATCAAAGTCTGCTCCTCCCACACCAACAATGATAATGGACATGGGCAACTTGGAGGCATTAACTATGGCAGTTCGAGTTTGGTCAAGGTCTGTTATCACACCATCCGTTATGATCAGAAGTATAAAGTATTGCTGTCAAACCAATAAACACTGTGTTATGACAAAGAAACAGCAAACATTTAGCCATGTACACTTAGAAAAACCTACATACAGATACACATACAAACCCACAAACTACACACTGTTGTCACTTTGGCATGTTTAGTGTGCTCACTGAATTTTACAATCAAACATCTAATTTGTGGTCAGGCTTCATCTGCACAGTCTGAAAAAACTTGTAAGGACAACATAACCTTTTAAAAAAAGGTGTCAATAAGCAGCCATCATCCAAAACTCCAGTGGTATCACAGTTCTTTCCTCCACAATCTCCAGACAAACCAACAGTTTACCTATTTTGCCATTATTTGTTCTGGGACAGAAGGCAGTTTACTGAGGTTTTGGAAAGGCAACACCTTTGAAACTTGTATTTTTTTCTTTTCTGGTCTATCAATACCTTTATGAAACACTACCCTTTACTTCATTTATTGTATCCAGAAAGTGCTAAATCACACCTTTCAGTGTTGAAACACACAGCCATTTCCAAATTCATCTAATTATGTTTTCTAGCTGCTTCATGAAGTTAATTATCAAGGTACCTTTGTAGTACATCAGTAACTTAATTAACTACCACCTGAGTTGCTTCCACTATTCTGTCGGGGCTTCTAAAAGCTGGCATCCTTGCTTCTGTTCTGGAGCACCAAATATGAGCTAGAAGTACCAAGTCTGGAAATTAGCAAACACTTTTTGAATTTCCAGTGTTCCCTCACTTCATTTCATATGATTACTGAATAGCATAAATTCAAGTCCCCAAAGACTCCCCCCATTATTCCTGGAAGTCGCTCTTCACTACTTTCCTTCCCATCTGCCTTTATCTGCCTTCAAATAACTGTTCTTCCCTTATCTTGTCTGTTTAGGTATCACATTTTTTCCCTGCTTTCTGCTAGTCTGCTCCCCCACGTCAGCAAGAACATCTATAAAGCAGTTATGACCACAGAAAGCTATAAGCAACTGTAGCAGGATAGCACATCACACTGGATTTATTTCTCTCTTCTCATACTTCCTCCATACTGGGAAAAAAACCAGCATCAGAATCAAAAGCCAAGCCCAAATGACTACGATATGTATTAAATGTCAAGGTAGCAAATTGTCTTCAATACATTCTTTCAGGCAGGAAAAACAAATCTCTTGCTAGGCATACTACATAAAAGTTAAAAAAACCCAAAAAAAAAAAACCAACAAGAGGTTTGCTCCTTTCCTGAGATATAGACATGCATACATATACATATATTTATACATACATATTTTTATTTTTTTTACAGCTACTAGTGAAGGACTACCAAGGTAAAAACCTTAGCAGCCTCATGGCATATGAAAATCCATAGCTCCTCTTCAAATTGGTTTCTACAGATAAATTTACATTTAAAATAGCTAATTTTATTTCCTGATTTCACATGACATCAAATACACAAGTATTTGTTGTCATCCGTGATGTAGGATTTTGTGAACTTCCATGCATTATCAACATGACTGAATACTCAAGACTTGGTCTTCAGAATTTCTATTTTTAATATGGTCAACAACTCATGTATGAAATGTTAATATGAAGGAGGGCACAGCCCATACAGCACCTAAACCTTTATAGTACAGGTAATTATCTGTGTTGGTACCTGTGTCAGGAGCTATACCATCTACTTCTTCACTACCTTAGTTAATCCTCTCTCCCAGCTATCTAATGTGAAACAAGGGCTAGTTGAATTTTTTTCTTAGCTGAGGTTAAATCACTGTCTTAGATATAAAGGCCTAAATTAGATTTTAGCAACTGTATAGCACTGCAAGAGCTTTCAACAGAAGATACCATAAAGGTGTTGTGTACTTTTCAGTTTCTATTTCAAATCTGAAGAGTTTATTTAGTTAATTGGTTAAGAGGACTGTTATGTACAATCTGCAAAAAACAACTAGTTTTTCTCTTGTTTTAAGTGTAACAAGCATTTATTCACAAGGTAAAGGCCAACTGTCAAATGAATACACTCACAAATTTAAAAGAGAAAAAAAGTATTTATAAACAAGAAGGACAATAAAAAAGTAGAGAAACACAGAGTACCATAAAGAACTTACAGATGCTGTTTGCTGCTGAGTAGCTGCAGCAGCAAATCTTGCCACATGATTTATAATTGGAGAAAAATTTGTTGGTCCATATAACTTCACTTGAGGAAGACAGGCTCGATATGCATCAACAATGCCTTGGATCCCTAGAGAACAGAAACAGATCTTTCATGTTATTTAATATTAGATTTAGGGTATTTTGAAGCACCTGATTTTTCTAAAGCTGTATAAATCAGCTACTTGAGGTGATTTTGCAAAGATTTAAAACTAACCATGGTGGGAAAAAAAAAGCCATGAGCGATGGAAGCTTTCCCTTTGACCAATGCTTAAGGCACATACGTAACACAATTTGCCTTGTGTGAACAGACAGGCCAAATAATCTATGCTCAAGGGTGTGAAACAACTTCAGCAATTCTCTTCACCTGGCAGCTTGTGGTGGTTGGTAGTCTGATCAGAGAGGCCACACTGAGCAGGCATTAGCAGCACCACACTCAAAGCAGACAACTCCACACCAGCAGGTAAGTAGCATAAAGTGTCTTGACAGCACAAGAGAACTGTGCTGTCAAGACACTTTATGTGCCCTGTGTCCTGTCTGTTTAAACCACTTCTTTAACAAATCATTACAGAAGACAGATGCAATACAATTTCACCCAAGTAAGAAATTGGTTATAAAATTATTCCTGCTATGCTACAGGACGAAACGAATTAATTAATTACAACAACAAGCTTCAGTTCACTTTTCAAGTGTCTTGATGCTGTCAACATAGGTATTTTATTCTCTAGGTCTGATGTTACTTTCTCAGACTTACCATTACAGAATGGGTTTGAAGGATTAAAATTTATTGGGAACTCATGAGATACCTGTGAAGACACAGAAAACATAGTCAGGACTGCATATACAATCTCCTTCTGAAGTAAGTGCTTTCAGCTGTCTTAGGTAGTGAATTTACACATTCCATTACCTGAAAGGAGGGAGGAATTTGTGCACCAAATCCAAAGGCTGGAAACATCTTATCTCTAAAGAGGCAATTTTAAAGAAAACAAAGTCAGTGTCTCCCATTAAAAGCTGCCATAGTTTAGTAAGTGTAGTTATCAGTGCTGCTTTTCATCATTAAAAATGTTATTTAAGAGGCAAAATTAAACAGAAGTTCCTCACTGTAATTGCTTCTGGGACCCAAAGTAGTCTTAAATACTGAACTGGCAAGAATGCAAGCATATATTCAAATCCATGCTGCTCTTTTCATCCATTATGAAAAGCCCTGCTGGTCTGCAGTAGACACAAGCTTATACTTGCAATTATATGATGGTATTTTAGTTCTATAACTTAGCTCACAAGTTGCATTCCAGTATATCTGCAGGCATATTCAACACTAGTTTAAAAAGCTACCATAAGTGCATATACCCATCTAAAAACATGATCCAAATAAAAATCTAACACTCACGTATCATAATCCTGAACGACCATCCCGACAGACCAAATGGCTGTTAGGTATTCGTTAACTCCATTAGGGCTGAGGTAATGCAGAGAGTCCGGAGAGCGAGGGTCTCCATTGGAGCCTGTAAAATCTATCCCCACCTGCCAAATGTAGCATTCACATCTCATTGCTCTTAAAGGTTAAATTATGCTTCTTATCTCTGGCAAAGCCAAAGTGAAAACCACGAAAGAGTAGTAAACACGACATCTACAATTGTAACAGGCACAGTACTTGGATGCAGGTTTCTTGGAATATTAACACTCTTTAAACAATGTCATAACAAAACCCTCAAAAGCTCTGCAACTCTCCAGAAGGGCCAAAATTGCTTTCATCTGAATCACAGAATGGTTTCGCTTGGAAGAGGCCTTAAAGATCATCTAGTTCTAACCTCCCTGCCATGGGCAAAGACAGCTTTCACATGACCAGGTTGCTGAAAGCTCCATCCAACTTGGCCCTGAACACCTTCAGAGATGGAGCATCTGCAGCTTTTCTGGGCACGCTGTCAGGTTTTCACTGTGTTTACTTTCAGTTACTACTCACAGCAGCTCTTCAAAATCTGGTAAATTAATTTCATTCTGTATCTTGATACACACACACCTTTCTTCTCAGAAGTACAACTAGTCAGGCTCCACAGAAGCCTCCCTGACTTCAACAGATCTTTTTTGCTTTGGTGATGAAGCACGTTAATAAGGCGAAGATATCATACTGTTAGTTGTGATGAATTTGGTTCACAAATTACATAACTTAAGGGTTCTAACCCATATGATGACCTCTGTGTGCTGCTTTCAAAGAACAGTAAATTTCTCACTGGTCTCCATCCACACAACTTAGCTAGTTCCTAATGAACATAACCAGAGGTTCAGAACCATTTGCCAAGAGTAAAGACTATTTTTTTCTCAACAGACTAGAAGCACTCTGGCAAAATAGCATCCAGCTCCATGCTATGGAACAAAAATGAAGTTGACAAGGAAAAAAATACAATAATCTAAAATAAAGTACACAGCCAATCAATTCTATACTTCAATTTGCTCCAAAACTCAAAAAGTATTCATATAAACGATTTAACTTACGGTGAAATTCAGCTGACACCCACCCATGATGTAATCAAGGAATGTGCACTCTACAATAATCTAAAAATAGAAGAAAGAAATTTTAGTTTTTTCAATGGGAGAAAACCCAGCTAATATTATTGTAGCAACTTCTAAGGTTCCAAATATGTTGGTTTTACCCATTAAAAGCATTAGTTTTGCCCTAGAGCTATCCCACCCACTCACTGTAACCAAGATATTTGCAACACATGCTACCATACAGTCAGCATGGCTGCATGACAGCATCAGAATCAGGCCTTTAACAAATCTACAGACATACACTAAAGCAGCTCCAAAACAACTTTCCTTTATAAAATAACACATTATGACAGAGTTTTTTACTTTGCCATAAAACAGCGAGTTGGGAAATGCAGTGGTTCAGAAATTACTTAAATTGGTAAGCCACCTTTCTCTTCAAGATAAAGTGAAGGGACAAGGGAGGACAGGTATGGAATTCAGCTCTCAATTTGTCATTTTGTATGAATCAGAGTCCCTTAAATATTTACTGTGTGTGGAACTTTTAGACATTTTAAAGTTTCTTACAGTTTGAGGATGAAGATGTACTAAATAAGAGTTGTTATGCCTTAACACTTAAAACCAGTGTTTTACTGACCTCACAATGTTTAACGCTCACAATGCCAGAGTTTTTATAGTTCTTTTTCTTCTGTCTTTTCTTTTCATTGATGCACTCAAATTCAACCTGCATGAATGCAAACAAATGCAACAAAAATATTATCATATCTTTTATGTAACAATTTTAATCATCTTTTATTTCAGGATTCATACTTTGGGCTTATATTAAAAATGAAGTTCATTTCATAATCCAGCAAAATTAAACCCAGAATGCCCAATATCGGCAAGAAAAAAACATTCTCAAGATAGAAATCCTCTCTTATCCAAAAGTCTACAAACACATTTGTTTTGACAAATGTATTTCAAACAAAGAAAGAAATTCTGTACCATTCTCCCTCTGAGGATTCTGCTAACAACTTTCTTTTTGCTCAAGATATAGCAATTCAAACAAAGCATCAGTGTTTCCAGAAGCTGTGGCTGCAATGACTATTATTTTTCTTATTTAGTATAAATACAACACTCAAAATATTAGGAAAGTACAAGCATGCACTCTTGTTCATAGATCCCAGTATTTTTCATGCAGAAATAGTTCTGGAGTTTTTACAGGTCTAAAGGAAAATGTGGTAAAACATCTTGATATCACACATATCCATAAAACAAATACTTTTATGTTATATTTGCTATGCCAAATTTTGTCTTCGACCCTGCCAACTCTGCCTATTAAAAGGTTTGGAAACTATTATAGTTCATAAAATCAGGAAGGGTAGTATCACTTTAGAAGAAAAGCCATCTAATGTAACATAGCTGCATTTTTGTGCACCGTTGTAAATACTGAATTTTCTCATATTCACTGAAGTGTACATAATAGTTAATAAGTGCCACATTTTAAAATAAAGGATTAAATAATATTTGAAAAAATACTACCAGCTTCGGTCTTTTAGCTGTAGTTAAATTTGTGCTGCATTCTCTCTTTTGACAATCCAAGTTTTTTTATTTCTGTATTTTTATGATTAGTGAATTTTTTTTGTGCTGATGGTGGGACATTTAGATACATAATAATAAACTGTAACCACAACACTAATCCTAGGAAAATGGATGAACAATGCAAATGCTGTTTTAGCCTCAACTACAATAGCAATGTCAAGGCATGACCTAGCCCAACTTGGAGGTCACCCATGGCCAGGTGACCCAGGTTTTGCTGCAATATGAATGGAACAGCTTATCAAGAACACCCAGGCACCTTAGACTGTGTAACACTTACAGGTGATGACCGAGATGCTTCCTTCAGTTTTGACATCGTTGTTTGAAAACTTCCTATGAGATCATGAGACCCATCACCATCATAGTCATAGCACTCAACCTAAAATGCAGCATTACTTAGTGTTAGTAACAGAAATGGCCCTACAAAAGCAATGAACACTGAAATGGCAAACCTGAACATCCCAATCCCTGTATCTTTTATATCACAGAGTTTTTCTTGCATTGAAGTTTTAGAACTGCATAAGGTTGCACTTAAAAAACATTAAAATTGGGTAGATGCCAATACACTCAGTCTTGAATCTAATCTTCTACTCAAGTGAAGGAGAGATGGGAATACTAAGTAGTGTCAGGTCTTACATGAGCAAGTAACATCAATTATATTGAAGAACTATGTTTTGAGAGAGATGGGGTGTTGGGAAGAGTAGGAAAACAACACAGGGTTTTTTACATTCATCATGAATCTGAGCATCCAGCTAAAAATTTAGTAAATCAGTTATGTAAGCCATCACAAGAGTTTTAGTAACACTTTTATGTTACTTCATTAATCTTCAAAATAACACAGAATTCATAAACATATGAAGGTTCAGCCCTGAAGCTAGAAACAATATATGAATTTTTATTTTTTAAGATTAGAAAACTTAAACAGTGGATCTGTTAAACTTTGATCTACACTTCATGGATCTGAATGTGAACTAAAAATCTCTTTTCTTACAGTGAGAGTTGAATGATAAGCTTTATTATTTAATCAATGCACTCTTCTAACAGCCCAAACTGCCAAAGAAGGCAGAAGTGAAAAACAGTTTGTTTTTTTCTCTTTGAAAATGTGATCAATGTGCCTTTCTACATAAAAAGCTGGTTATTTATCTATAAAAGCTTATGTGAATTTCATCCACTTCTGATATTTTATTTCAGTTCAGCAACACAGACATGAGAGCTAACTTAATCAAGCCACATAAAAACATACTAAAATAACTTAATAATGATGATGATAAATAGAAACAATAATAAATCAAGAGTCAAGTAGGTATTCTGCATTACTTGGAATCAAAATGCAAACTTCGAGAAAAATGTTCAGAGTATGTACGGCTTAAACTGAACAGCTATTTGCATGTCCATCTTTCAAGACTAAAAATATTGTAACTTACATTCAAGAATCAATTTAACTGATTACTTGAGCATTTCAGATAGAAATAAAAAAGCAAAACAAACAACTTCAACACACTTGAGCTTCTAAAAGAAATTAAATTTCTGACAACAAACAGGAATACTGAAGTACAAAATATGATGTGTAGATTGGGAGTTCTACTGCACAGAGCATACCTCTATCTTGCAGTCTGCACTACTACAGCATTTTGAATTCACTAATAAATAAAAAAATGCATGCACATGCACTGAACAGCACCTTTAATTATACAAGCAGCCAAAGAACCAACAGGCTAATTAATGTTCATGGCAAATGCTATGTAAATTCTTCTGAATGCCATAAATTATGCCAATCAAATACTCAGCAAAGTGCTTCAGTAGCTGAAATTTAAAATGTAACATATTTCCTGACCCAACAGTTCTGATACCTGCTAGCACCGTTAGTAAATGTATCTCCTTTTTATTTCAAAGGCATAAAAATTTGTCTTGCTTGATATGTTTGACCCATTTAAGCCGATTTTTAATATTTATTCCAGACAAGAGAGAAACATTTCCTTTCCTTCCATATATGCCCTCCTGGACATGCAATAGCAGTAGGGAACAATGTGATTGAACATATTTTTCCGAGCAGAATTAGGCATGCATGTTCCAGATGAAAGACTCACATTTGAGACACAGAAAAACTTCACTGACTGCAAACACACTCACATGGAAGATAACCATGAATCCAGAAGATAAAGGATCAACTTGGTTTGTGCACTGCTGGGCATACACAAACTAAGCCTTTAAAGAGGTGAAAAGCCACTCATAGAAAAATTGCTGGTTTTACTTACTATGCCAAACAGCCCATTACACATGCAACTGTATGCATATAAAAGTGTTAAAGGCATTGTTTAATCTTTCAAAAACATTCCATAATACAATCCTGACTACATTTTAATGCTTGAAGTGATAGATCCTGCATTTCTAAGTTAAGGCATAATCAAACTGCCTGTCTGCAAGTCTGTAACTATTCCAAGACAAGTCTATTTCCTCTGGATATAAACCTGCACTTCCCAGGTAAGATTTCAAAAAACAGATGACAGAGCTGAGAGTAACTCTTCACAGATACATTTAGATCAATGGTCTATAGCTTTAGTATGGCTGTTACTGAAAAGGAGAAATATATTTATAGTATATGGAGATGTAAGAGCTATCACGGCTGTTTTGGGGACAAGAGGAGCAGAAAGGAATGAGATGGAAAAAACATAGAAGCAGCAAGGGAAGAAGGTTCTGGGCTTGTAAAGTTGTTCATTAGTAACTCCTCTATAAATATGCATTTAAATCCATTCAGGTGCTGGTAACACCCAGATCCCCGTGGCTGTTAAGGATTTTCCAGGACTGCCTCAAGCCATATGACTAATACCCATTACATGCAAATCATGCTCTAAGTTTCCCTTCCCAGAGGAAGAACATCAAATATAGAAGTTTGCTGCATTTGGATTTTCAGATTTCTTTTTCAAATGCTAAAATACCTGGTTTCTAACATGATCATAATAGCTTATAAATGGCATTTTGATTGGCTGTTTAGCTTCAGTTCCACCCCTAAAGGTAATTCCTGAAGAAAAATATTCACTAGTTAAACACAATTTATTCTAGATAAAATTGGAAAATAGAAAACATTAAAACCCTGGTAGAACTACTACTTCACAGGTTTGATTAACTTTCTGACAGAAAATTCAGTTTTATATGAAGAGAAAAAGTTGCTAAAACTGGTATTCACAAGTTGTAGCTGACCCGCATCTGTTAGCTAGTATATTAAGTGTAATTTATTTTATCAGGCAGTATATTAAAAATTGTTGCACCAATAACAATGTATTATAAGATCCATCACATAGAACAAAGCATACTCTAGCCTTCAACATGCTTCTTTCACTGCACAGTAGCTAATACTGGTGGTGTTAAAGATAACGTTAGAACTGTACAATAAAAATAAGAAGCTGCATTGGACGTTTCAAAGACACTTGTGTTCAGCTGCTTTCCCAGACTTTCAAAGACCAGCTTCTACCACACAATACATCACAAATGTGCAGTGTTTTCCTTTTTTCCCCTAAAAAATGTATCTGTGTCTTTCAAATAAGAAATCTAATATTTTCAATTAAATTTGAAACAAAAAACCTGCAGTAACTAGAATAACACATCTTCCCCTTGTTACATATTTTAACTTTTAATGCATTAATTTATACACACATTTAATATATGTTACCTTGATTGACTTATCCATGTCACTGTAACACAGAGAATTGAGAGAGATTTTAAAGGGCCTCCAAACAGGATTCAGGTTGTTTTTAATAACCTGTTGGGAAAAAAAAAGGCAGAACACCATTGTTCACAGGGGTGGAAAGTAGCAATCATAACGGGTCACACCTTCATGCCGTGATTTTTGTGTGCAAACAACAACTGACTAATGCTGCTGTCAATGCACTCCAAATCCCAATACACAGGATAGAAATCAAGCTACTCTTAACATGCATGCTCAAAAAGAGATTTCTCTTTCAGCTCCATTTTTTGCTAGACTTCACTATCACCTACTTATATCCCTCAGCTACTGCACTGTAAAAAGTTAAATTTGTCATTACAGAAATAAGATACTAGTTGCTTTCTTTTAATAAGCACACATATATACATACACATATAACGCCATGCATTACTAAAAATGTGTGTAAAAATATTACATTGCAATTTCTGAATACATCAGTGCTTCAGAGATTACAACTCGCTCTCATTTTTTATTTATTCTGAAATTTCATTTATGGAAATATGCCCTCAAGAAATTCATGGTGTAGTAAAGTAAGAACAGTGCATGAGGATAAAAGGCCTCTCAAGTTAAACACTAAAGTGTTATTTACAAATAATACTGAAAGATCTCCAAAATTTGTCTTTATCTGTAAATATATCCAATACACCAAATAATGATGTAACAAAAGCACAAGAAAGTACACATAATATGTGCTACTTAATTAATAACACCTTACAATAGTAATACTTTCAACACTGTAGGAGTGTTGTGAAAAATCTCTCTTGAAAATAAAACCAATAAAAACAGCAGCTAGAAAAAAAAAGGGTTTTTATAACCAGTAACATAAAGAACTAATCCACAAGATATTTCTAGGGTGAAACAACAAATTCTGGATTTATTCCTAAAGTTGATGACTGAAATCATAATAGAAAAGATGCACCTTAAGCAGAAGAATCACCTCATAGAGAATCTGTAAGTCTGACAAAAAGGATTTATAGTTCTTCAACATCCATACTTCAAAATGAATACAGTCACCACTTCCTATGGGTGTAATGGGCCCCTGAGCTGCCACTGCAGTGAGACATTCTGAAAGTGCTCTCAGCCTGTCAGTTGCTGTCACAGGACCCCTACCCCTCCTCCTGGGTGAAAGGCTGCTGCTGCTCAAGCACGTTTCCCCTCACTCTGCATTCTCCTTGGCTTGCCCTTGCTATGCAAGCATTTAGCACCATTACTTTCACTAGTAAAGGGTACAGCCAGGTGACACTTTCCTAAGAACAGCACAGTCAGGAATGCCCAAGTCCTACCCCAGCACTTGGTAGAACTAAGTAAATGTCTCTGAGTATGCAGTTCTTTTTCAAAATATTTCTTTTCTCCTAGATTGCTGAAAGTTGGAGGGGAAAAAAAAAATGTTTTCTTCCCAAACAGAATGGCATATATCGAAATCAGCATAAAGAGAATAAGGTAGATTTCCCAGAAAAGTCAATGGAAGAGATGATGCAATTTCTAACTAGTCTGCACATCAAATCTAGGATAGTCAATTCTTTTTGTAAGGCATTTTATATCTAGTGCTGTGACACACTGGAAATTAAATAACCTTAACCTCTTTGTTGTTAACTGAAAATATCCTACCTCTGTTCTGTGAACCATCACCCAGTTTCCATCTCCAGTCTGCTTGTGGAATTCCAGATAAGGATCTGACTTTCCAAAAAAATCCTGTATTTAAATAACATGCAATTATTTCAGAACAGCCTTTAGAGTGAATATCATTAAATTCCAGTTAACACACACTTAGATTAACAAAAAGTAAATTCGAGGAACAAAAGCTTTAGATGATGAAATGCAAATCTGATTATATTACCCCCTGTGAAAGAGGAAAAGAAAGTGGTGAATGTCCACACATCAAACACCTGACAGCTCAAGCAAAATACTTATACCCATAAGTACTACAGTGGATAGACTTAGGAAACTAAGGAGTTAAAAAAAAATGAAATCAAAAGGTAAAAATAGAAACATTTTTCTATTATTTTTCTAATTTTATTTTTTAAAGTCTCTCAATAGCCAGCTCTATAGTAAACATAAATTCATACACACCAAATACACTCTTCACTATTTATTTCAGAGAGGTAATGGGCAACCATTTACATATCCATTGAAACTAATGGATATAGAAAACTCCCTTTTATTTATGAATAAATGTAAAGATTTACATTTAAACAACATTACATGTTGCTCACAGACTACCCCTGAAATGCATTTATCTTACTTAGAAATACATTACAATTCATTTCAAAACAGTCAATGAAGTTACTCTGCAGGAATCTTACTTCAATTTCTTTTTTAGTATAAGTAAAATCTTAATAGATTTTACTTTATAAGCAAAAAAGAGAAAGAATACTCAAATGTTTCCTGCTTTGACAAGACTCTGATTTACTACTTTATCAGAGAAACAGCAATCACTTAAATACCTTATTGTCCAGTTTCCTTGCTTCTAATTCCAATACAACCACCCTGTTATCCTTTACTTCTTCAGCTGTAATCTAGGTAGGCAAACAAAATATTTCAGTTTACTCATATTCACAGAATTCCTATGACATGCCCATTAAAAAGGCCCCCGTGTTTTCTCACAAGTGAAGCATTAAAAAATGGGGGGGGAAGGAGAGGAACAATTTGATTTGACACTGGGATTTGATTCCATCTATTTGGCATAAATGATGGCACTGACAAAGATATGCCCCAACCAGAAGCCCATTGGATGCCCTCATGATGTTTGCAATGGGACTTATAATTCAGAAGGCGGACTGCTATTTGATGGCAAAGATAGATTAGTGGAGGAAAAAACTATGCTTTACAGCATTATAGAATAGACTCAATGTATTCAAGCCACTAACTAAAAATAAAACCCAGAAACAATTAAGGATGAGCTCTGAAGACATTTATTTCTTAACTCTCTTACCGTAATGCTTCCTCTTCCAGCAGGTTTGCCATTTTTAAGTACTAATGGTTTTGTCAGAGTCCTGCTAGAAACTACCTGCCAAGACAAAAATTGAGTATCACACATTATTAAAACAATTTAATAGATTTTCAAAGGAATTAAATTAGTTAGTGAGGTATTTTCATTTTAGTAATTTTCCTCTTTGTAAAGATGACAGCATCACATTTACTTACCATAATCTTCTATAAATAAATAGGTTATACTTTATTCACTTCAAAATTTTAAAACACACATGCAGATGAACATATGCAGAGCTTCAGGAGTAGTAAGAATTAAAATGTTTTCTAGTAACATGACACACATTAATGGACAAAGATAATACCTTAGGTTCCAATGTCAAATTGTTCTTTAGGTTCTCCATACATACCTTTAAAATGCATGCAAGGCATATTTCATAAATGGATGCAGGAAATAAATTTATAAACACAATGCCTGTCACTCAAAAAAATAATCAGCCTTCCCCTGCACAGTTTCCAGCTGATTTTATTTTACCCTATTCAGGCAATGCTTCCTCAGAAGTGTGTCTACTCCTTCTTTATCTTAAGAATGAACTATTAATTTTTAATTGACATTGAATTTCAGTTCACAATGCCTCTTTATTTTAAGTGCATTATAAGGATAAATGCTTAAGATACAGGGGAAGAAAAATCCCAAGACAACTCTTCTGAGAAGTGCCTTTGAAGGATCTATTCAAAAGAACAAGTTTAAAAGAAGCTGCCCAATTGTCATAGCATCAATAGCAGAATATGAGTGGGAAATAGAAGTAAATCTACAGCTGGCAGAACTAGGATCATTGCTTGCATCGAGTGGAAGGCAGATTACAAGGATAACATGGTCTTTGTGAGCACTCATACGTTGTTCTACACTGATTCTCCTTTTTGGGAGCATAAAAATAGGAATTTGTGTATTAGAGTAAATAAATAGCAATTACTACAACTTTGTGCTCATTGAAAGCCCACTTACTTTTAGCTAGCAATCCAACAGTCACCTAGAGCACATTTCAGGGCATCATCTCAAGACCTTTTGCAAATAAAATGCATATACACTGAACTGAGACTTGAAAAGTCAAATGAAGAGCATCCTATTCAACTTAAGAGTACTCCAACTACACAAGAACATAGTGATAAACTCAGGGTAAAAGTGGCTAATGATTTTCAGTAACTTAATTCTAAGGGAAATCATCTGCATGCTTACCTGTCCCAGCGTACATTCTAATTCTCCTAAGAAGTCATCATCACTCAGATCATAAGTTTTGTTATCAATGTCATATATTCCAAACTTAAGTTTCTGAACAAGCTCAAAATAATAATCAATTAAGAATTTCTTGGAAAACTTTGGGTTCAAGGAATTCTTAACTCTTTCTGTGCGATCAACCTGAAATTAGAAAGATACAACTTTATCCAGTATTTAATAAACTGAACAAGCAAGAAGATCAAATATGGTATTATTAAATATATTCAAAAGTTCTTAAAGTACAAAGGAGTATCTTCCTATAAACCTTTCATTAAATATAAGTTATATTACAAAATATTATATTATATATATACATTATATTTCAAAATTCACTGCTCTAAGTTAGGGATACTTGACCTATTTTTCATCACTCCCTCTAAGGTGGGACCTATTCCTGCACAGGAAAGACCAACATAAAATCTTGTATTGTCACATCCAGGATGAGATCCCAGTTTTGGAATACTGTATTTATAAAAGCACATTAAATCTCTTAGAAAGCTTCTTGTGTTGGTCCGCATATGGCTGGGGAACAGTGCTAAAAAACAGACAGTTTAAGTATTTAACAGCAAACGATTATTCATGTGCTGCCCATGTAACTATTTGTTGTGGTTTGACATAGCTTGGTTTTTAGTTAAGGGAAAAATCCAAACCTACTAGACTATTAGAGTTACCATCTAATAAAAAGTACTCAAAAGTGCTGGTACAAAATTAAAATATTTTAATGAAACCATATGCTGTAGTGTTTTAAAAGGTCCTGCAAGCAGATTTGTGAGAAGCATCAGGACGTACCTCATACCACTGCTGACCACTTGTGTTCTGGAGAAGCACACACAGAGGGTCTGACTTGGAACCAACATCTTTATCCAAGAGATTGGTGCAGGAAATAGTCAGCTCCACCTTTGTCACACACTGCGCCGCCATTTGTTACACTAGAAAGCAGCAACAGAACCCACCATTAAAATGGACTAAAAAGCAAACAATAGGATTGTCACAATGCATTAACTCTCTTACTGATCACAAGAAGTGTTAACTTGTCAAAAGTGATAATTTGAGGTTACAAATGCCAATTTTAAAATTTATAATGTACCAACATTATTATATCATTATTACTGCCACACTTTTGTTTTTTTTCATACCAGTATAAAAATTAATTTCAAAATCTGCTCATAAAAAACAAGATCAGGTTTCTAAGACTGTCCAAGGAACCAAATGAAAAATGGGATATACCTCAAAGAAGGCACAGTGGTTTGAACTGCTGACAATAAAACTTCAGAAGCTTTAAATGAAATTTAAAAGCCCACATGAATGCCAGTATCTTAGAGATATTATTATTAATTCCATTAATAGGGAAAACACATTGTATTATATACTCCTCTACCAAATCTTTGTAACAAAGTGCTGAAACCATAAGCATGGCAGAGTTAGAAAAGTCATTTAAGCAGGTAACAGGTTATCTTGCTCTAGTAAATCTAAAATAAAACAACTAGAAATTTTAATAATAAACACTTTGAAGTCAAGTAAAAACAGAGAAATTGGGGGAACTGTTCTTTGTGAAGATCCATTAAAAAAAAAAGGAATAGCTGAAAGCATTTTTACATTTGCTCTTTGAGTACCTCCATCACTGTCCACTGGACAATGTTCACTAAGACCAATACATATTACAAACCTACAGAAAAACTTGATTATCAGTTATGAATCCCACATTGGCATAACATGCATTTGCAAGCCCAAGAAGGTCTGAGCACCAGATTATTTTCTATAGATATACATATATATAAAAATCTCCATAATGATACACTTCAAGGATAGAGTTGATAATTTCCATCAACTCTTAGGGAAGTAAACCTCTACAGTACAATTGTCCTTGACTCAGAGACTAAAACTTCCAAATCGTTCCACAAGCAGCCTACCCTGAAAGCTCCCAAGCCTCTTTAGTTTCAGGTTTGCCTTTTTTCCAGTAAATCCACAGTCTAGACCAAGTATCCCTCTGGATTAATTTATCTTAGAAGTGCATGAGACACCAGAGAGAACAAGGCAGAAGGAAAGGCATCTGCTTCTATCTGGTCAGCTCCCTAGCAACATAAACATTCATATTTGAATATCAAACTGTACTTAACCCAACCCAGCTCTATTCCTTTCACTGTATTCATAAGACTTTTCATGAAAAGGAGTGATTTTTTAGAGGAAAATGGGAATAGGAACATGGAAAAGGCAAAGAAGAAACTGAAAATAAAAGAAAGAAAACGTTGGGGGGGTCTGTGGAAATTTTCCTCAGGCTTCTTCTATTCCACTAGGGCACAATTCACATATCTCATCTTCATTTTGCTATCTCAGTGATGAACCTTTAGGACACTGAAGTACATACAAATTACCTGTAAAAGAAACACTCAAACATCCATGCACATATTTTAAGAAGCGTGTCAGATTCATAGAAGTCCTGATGCACCTCCCAAAACCTAAATGTCATTTCTTCCTTGAGTATCTTTTTGTTCCCTTGACTTTCATCAAGTTTAATTCATTGACCTTGAGGAGGAAAGAGTGAAGGTCCAAGTACTAAAATAATTTTTAGACCAATGTTTTTTAGGCTTAGAAAGCACACCTCTTAAAAGCAGTCTGTCCCTTTATTCCTAGCTCTCTTTTTATACTGGTATTTTCCACTCTCTATTGCTTTCCTGGCTGCCAGACCAAGCTCATTAACAGTCAGTGCCTTTCCCACAGAATCCAGTGCAGACCAGTACCTGACTCTTTAATGACAGTATTCAGAAAAACAAATTTCTGCTGACAAAATGATGCTCTAACTCCCACTGATGCTGCAACAGCAAGTAGAAAGGGTTTGCATGAAATGCAACAGAATTTAAACTTGAACTGAGATGCATTTTCAAACCAGTCCAAATTTTCTTGCTTCAACTTGTCTGAAACTCCTCATTATTAAGAGTTCTTGAAAGCACACAATTCTTTTGTCAAGGTAATATTTCCAAAATCACTGGTAAATGGACAGCATTGAGTCAACATAAAAATATGGTCAGCTTTTTCTTTGCCTGTGTGTGTACTCACACTTCTTGTACAACTCAAGTACTTTTCACATGGACACATCAATTCTGTTACTTCCTCTCTTCCTCCATGTCACCAACTCACCCACTATGCATTTAATGCAGGAAAAGAGAAGATTAAGAAAGAGGTGCTGTGCAAAAAGCATCCTTTAGCATAGAGAAGGGAAAAATAAAAAGGCTGATTCCCTTCCCTGAAATGGAAATGCTCATTTGAGATCCAACAATTGTGTCCACATTAGATAAAAGACAACTTGTAACAAGAACATACATTTGTTTAAGTGGAGGACACTTAAACTTTAGATAAAGAGTAAAACTTCACAAATCACAAGACAGTCCTTCAATCAAAACCTGTTTCAGTTTTGAAAAATCCAAGATGAAAATTAATGCAAGTCATTTTTCTAAGAAGTTTTGAGACTATTAGGAATATATAGTTGTATAATAGGTTGAAGAGGTCTGTAATACGAATACATTTCCAGAAATAATTTTGCTATTTTACTAAAAAGAATGTTTCTCCATAAAAACTGGTACATTTTACTGCAAATAGCTATACTGATTTTCAGTAACATTAAAAATGTTAAAAGTTAGTAAAATACTTACTAGCAAGAAAAAGTCATGTCTCATTAACCTAAAGGAGTATTTAAAGTAGGGAATCTTAGTAAATAAGAGATACTTCTCTTACCACATGGCACACCTTACAGAATTTGCAGAGGGTACACATGCTTCACAGGTGTGAAGTCAGGAGTCTTTCAAACAGCACTACCTGCTAGGGTTCTGCTCATGCTGCACAAATCCTCATCGTCCCAAATGCATGAAAGGAAGAATTACACAGATCGACCCAATTCTTTTCACTTCTAAAAGCCCATGTTAGCTGAAAAGTTCCCAAGGTTTGAGAGGTGGATGGCAGGGTTTTTAAAGATGATAACCATTCTCAAGGATCAGCCACTGCCAGGTAAGCAAGCAATCTCTTCTTGAGGACTTGATGTAATAAAATCTGGCAAATTGCCATATTTTCAGGATGGTGAAAATAAACCATGGATGCATTACCTCTTGAAATACCATTCTACAGCACATCTAGTAGGCAAACTAAATGTAAAATATTCTAGCTACATGACCAGATTACTTGAACATTTGGAATTCTGGAATAACTTATCATGGACAGATTATATTGTTCAGACTATGGTAGGATAAACCTCAACTGCCACTAAGTTATAACACATAAGAAGAGATTTAGTTCTTGAATTAGTGTTATTAAAGTAGCTGTGCTCCACGTTGGTCATATTTAATTAAAACCTTTGCTTTTCTCAAGCTATCAACTTGCCCTCCATACTATAAAGGGAGGCAAAGCACATCAGAATGTGTGCAGGTGATAGCTCCATCATCCATTTTATTGACATAGCTTTCATAGTCGCAGAAGCCAGGCTTTAAAAGGTATATCTGAATAAGAAAAGACTGAAAATTACTATATATAACATACATCTGAACTGCAGTGATGTAAAGTCACAAGAGACCCTCTGCCACATCTAGGCTGCTTGAGAGCATGATTAGGTCAACTAAGAATATGACAAGTCTTTCTGTTTGAGCTGTAACTATCAAAGGAAAAATCTAAGTCAAGGACTTGTCTTGTCTTGCAGTTTTATAGATCAGAATGTTCTTTGAACTCCAGTGATGATTCTAACGAAGATAAGTGGTAGACATCAAACAACTGAGTCATTGTCTTTTTTCCAACAGAAGCTGCAAACATGGCATTCTACCTGGAAAGGAACAGATCTATTATCAGAATGATCTATCTAGCAGCTCAGTTGGGAACTGCTAGACTGCAGCAATCCTCTCTGTGCTGCAATGTCAGAGGACAGTATTGGCTTGCCCAGACAACCTTGCAGAGCATTACAATGACAAGTTCCCAATTATAGGTGCATCCAGTCTGACAAGCAGAAATACCCAACTAAAAGACAGAAAAACTAATGAAGTGGGTTTGGCATCACTGCCTTTAGTCACAAGTCTCAAACCTGTTCTGATGAAAATTATTGCTGTCATTGAACATTTCCTAGCTCCTGTGAACTGCTAATGTCATCAGATCAAAAATCTGTAATTTTTAGATATCTCAGGGCCCAAATGAACACAGAATGGCCATGAGAAACTTGCAAATGAAGTCTATTCCTGATCAGCTAATCTTCTTGCCACAATGCTACACACCTAAGCATTTTATGTCAGCTGTGTGCCAAACTGAAAAAGGCAGAAAATGCTACGTCTGCTGCAAGAAGCTGACAATGAAATTATGACAAATGGATGCTTCCTCTCGCTGATAAGTCTGGCAGCAACACAATTGCTAGTGATCTTGGGCTACATGCACATAAATATATATTTTTAAAATCTCAAGGTAACCATTCAGTTTTTAAGGAAACAGAGTGCTTCACAGGAAACAGACATTTCATATGAGGTTACAAAAGCTAAGACTGTTTCACAACCTAATTTCATCACCACATTTGAAAAAAATCCCCAAAAAACAGCTTCTCTAAAAATCCTACCTCCAAACTTGAATTATGACTCCTCTTTTCAGTTTGTTAACAAGCAATACAGGTGGAAAAATTGTCCAGCTGATGTGCTGACAAGCTAAGTACTAGAAGCAGCTTGAGTCATTCTGAATTTGAAGAATCGCACAAAATCTTGAGTGTAAGCTTTATCTACTACAAAACTGATACAACTATCACTTCCTGAGAGATAGCTCAGGAAATATGTATGAGGTTCACTAACATCAAGTGCTGCATCCTGCATTTGGGTCACAATAACCCCATGAAGCACCACAGGTTTGGGAAAGACTGGCTCAAAATCTGCCCAGTGGAAAAGGACTTGGGCATACTGGTCAACAGCTGGCTGAACATGAGCCAGTGTGTGTCCAGATAGCCAAGAAGCCAAAGGTATCCTGGCTTGAAGCAAAACAAGAGTGGCCAGCAGGACAAGGGCTGTAATTCTGCAGCTGCTCCACTGCACTCGGAACTGGTGAGGCCACACCTCAAATCCTGCATCCAGTACTGGCCCCCTCAGTTCAGGAAGGACATTGAGGTGCTGGAGCATGTCAGAGAAGGGCAACAGAGCTGGGGAAGGGTCTAAAGAGTATGTCCCATGTCAAATGGCTGAAGGAGCTGAGGGTGTTGAGAAAAGGAGGCTCAGGGATGATGTTATTGCTCTGTACAACTCTCTGAAAGGAGGCTGTGGCCAGGTGGGGGTTGCCTCCTCCAAAGAAACAAGTGACAGGATAAGAGAACATAACCTCAAGCTGTGCCAGGGGAGGTTCAGGTTGGACATCAGGCAGAATTTCTCCATGGAAAGTGTTGATAAGCATTGGAATGGAGTGCCCAGTGAGGTGGTGGAGTCACCACCCTCAGAGAGGTTCAAGAAGCATCTCATTGTAGCACTTAGTGCTACAGTCTAGTTCACAAGACACTGATAGGTCACACATTGGACTTGATGATCTTGGAGGTGTTTTTCAACCTAAATGAATCCATGATTATCATATTCACAATTTAGTATAAAGGAGGGAATTAGAGCATTCTGAACTAAACAAGTAAGATCAGGCTGATAAAACTCTAATGACCACACCACTCGTTTTAGTGGGGATTATGTCAATCAAAACCACAAGCTAATACTTAAGAAATCTGAGATATATGCATACATGAGAATGGAAGCATAGTTTTCTGTATGGGAAATGAATCACCTATTTATACAAGCTTTATGATGCTCTACTGGATTGGTAGCACACTGGTATAACAAGTTAGACAACTATTTGCAGGTTTTTTCCGTATATAAAAATCTATCAGTAAGTTACATTGCCAAAAAACAAGTTTAGAATTCTATTTTGAAATAAAAAATCCACTGCAAAGAAATTATTAATTTGACTTATAGGACACCTGCTCACAAAATTACTTCAAAACAAGATATTTATTTCTAAATATCTTTCTGTTGGCCTTTTTTTATATATTTTATTTTTTTAATCCTGCATACATGTGTTTTCCCTTTAGGCACATCTTTAAGACTTAGTTCTTCCCAGCATCTTCCTCACACAAAAGTATTTAGGTGATGTTTCAAGTGAGCTAAACTGTAAAAGGTAATATTGTGCCTTGAACAAGAAGATTAAGAAATACAGATCTCCCGACTTCAAAATTCAATTATTTTAAGCATACAGCAGCAACCAGAGGAACACATGTTCCTTGATTATATGTTTATATGCTTTATCAGAGTATACCAATTATTTCATGTAAAACCATCCATCAGCTATGCAATGTGAATACTATCTTAAATTGTGAGTTCTTCATTGCATTTCCCTGTGTAGAGCCACTGACTAACTGACTACATAATTAACATTACGCACAAGAAAGAAAAACCTTTATATCACTAAAACTTGCTGTACTTTACTGTAGAAACAAGATGCAGGTGAAAACATGCTTTAAACTAATCCTTTTAACAGTTCTTTTCAAGGGATGTTGAGCTTCTTCACTGTCAAAAATATTAGTTCTTAAAAATGAGCTACAGTAACTTACCACAGAATTCTGCCTCCAGGCCTCTCAGCAAAAGGCTAAAGCTTCAAGCAACAGTACCACTAAAAAGCGAAATGAAAGGAAATTAAAACCAAGAATTGTTATTCCCATAGATCAATCAAAGTAAAAGGTTTGAGGAACTACAGTTTCTCTTAAAATAAATAACCTGTCCAACAGTTTTATGTGTCCATGACAGCAGCACTGTAAGGATTAGTCAAGGGTAACTCAGAGCCTTTACTAGATAATAATATATGCTAAATATTATAAAAGTGCAGCAAGAGGAGCCCTTTGAGATTTTAAGAACATAGACCCAATTACTGGTTCTGTCGTATTCATTAATTATTTTTCTTTTCAATTAGATTAGAGTAAGTAGATCAAAATCAGTAGCCCCCAATGTTGTTTATGCTCTAATCTGTGCATCATTACACAGCTAAAGGATGACAAAGAAAAGTCCACGAAATCAGTATTCCACAGTGGTCCAGCACATCTCAGTATAAACAATAACATTTTCAGATCAACTATCACAAAATTGCACTTTACTGCAGCCCAGAAGTATTTCAAACCTTCCTGTATGGAAACCAAGCGCTCTCCAGTCAGCTGCCCTCCAGCTCTGTATCACAGCAGCCACTTGCACTCAGCATTCCCTGCACCTGGGAGGCAGCAGTCATGCTCTGCATATCCACAGGCAGTGGCTCCTAAGACAGGCACACAATAATCATGCTAATTCCTGGAACCATCACATATGCTAATCTCTTGCCATGAGGATTTTTTTAAAAACCCTTCTGGGCAGGGGAAGTACCAGAAGCAAACTGAACTAAGTCAGCTGCCTCCCAACTGTGCCTTTGATAAAGCACTGAGTGAAAGTGCACTTGATCCATCTACAAGATGGAAAATGGATCTAAAGGGTATAGTCTCCTTCAATCAGAGAACAAAGTACGATTCAAATCAGTAAAGACTATTCCTTAAACAGAAGCTTGGATCCAGCAACCAAGCTCCTAAAATTCCTCTATTCATAAATCTTTCAGACACTTAAGAACGCCCTTTCAAAATGTCTGAGCAAAAGCATCTCATCTAAAGCAATATTAAAGATAAACCAAAGAAATCAAATAGAATCAGAGTTAATGGAAAAGACCTTTAAGATTATAAAAAAAACACACCACAGTTCTACTTCCTGCCTACTTGCTTGCACAAGCCATACCACACCTTCAAATGTCACGCTAGGAAGGGCCAGTATTAATCTTTGCCCAACTGATCTATGAACAGAAGTAATATTCTTGGGTTTAACAGGAACCAAGATCTACAAACACTAAGTTGATCATATATTACTTATGTTGGAAGAGCATCCTGACTTTCACAGAAAAATAAACAGGAAGGAATAGAAGGTATCCTACTCCCTAACTTCGTCCCTGAAGGTATTTCATTCAGGAAACCATGTAATGACAGCAATTGTTCCTAAATCAAACTAAGGTAAAAAAAAATTAAATTCCATCCCATATATGCGTACAATTGAGATTTTAGTTTTATTATCCCTAACACTAGGGCTTCCCTTTAGCATTCCATTCTGGAGAAAAAAATTGGCATAAAAGAAGACTGTATGAGCACTGTGGTACCAATTCTGCTAGTTTGGATTTCTGGATGACATTTAATAATAGCTTAGTTATTCAGCCTACCAGAAATAGCTTTTTGCTTTTGTTACCTGAACTGAAATTAGTCTGACAGTCACCTACAATGAATCTGTATAGTTTAATTTTAAGACATTTAGCACAAACATACTTGTTGCAAAAACACTGTATTCTTCCTAACACCACAACAGATAAACAAAAGGACCTCTGTTAAAGGACTCCTTTAACATCTCTCCTACTTTTTTTTCCTTCAAATGCTTTTTGGTATTCTGCATGCACTTCAAAACATCTTTCCTCTACGAGTATGCCTATATAAAGTTACAATTTAAAGCTCCAGCTGCAGGGAAAAAAAAAATCATGTGATTAAGTTTGACTGTTTTTTACTTTTACTAAACAAACTTTTGGCACCAGGACAGAAATATCTTTAACACGAACCTTCAGGGACATAACCCTCCGGGAAAATAAATATAAGTGTTGGAGGCAGGGCAATACATATTACTTTGAGGATACCTAATGTACTTTGAAGATAGGAGTACGTAAGGAAAAGTGAAGAGGTTTCACATTTTAAAACTTTTCCCTAGTGGAAGAATAAGTTATGACAACATGAACATTATCTAAGATTTGTCTTGTATATATTATGCAACTACAGTGAAGAAAGAAAACAACCACCCACTCAAACCAGCAGCTCAGAAAGAACAGCATGCGGTTTTCAGGAACGATGCTGACTCTCGAAACCCTCCTCTCCCAGAGGTAAGGGCGCTTTTCAGAGCGGCGTTTACACCGCCACAGAGACCGGCACTACGGACTCAAACCTTCAGGCCCACAGCTTTAACTTCACCGAGTTCCAGCACCCGCGGGACGGGGACGGGGCAGCGATTCCTCGATCCCGCAGCAGCCGCAGCTGGCAGCGCGCTCCGCTCCCCCCGCAGGAAGCGGGGCCGCAGCTGCGGAGACGCTTCACGCGAGGAAGGGCGAGGATAGCCCGGAGCCCTGGCCGGCCGTCCCAGCCCCGCACGGGTCCCACTGGACGGGGCAGAGCGGCCAAGAGCTCTAGCCCCGCGGGACACGGCGGCCCCAGGGCACCGCCGGCCCCACCCTCACCTGCAGCGCGGCGCCTCCGGACCCCCGACCCGCGGCGGCCACACCCGCGCAGCCGGACACGCCCCGCCCCGGGGCGCAGGCGCAGAGTCCCCGCGCGCGCCCCCCCGCCCCGGCCGGGCCGGCGGCCGCTCGGGCCTGGCGTGGCTCGGGGCCCGGCCGCGCAATGTCCGGCCCGCGGCACGGCGGGCTGCCCGGCCGGGCCGGCGGCCCTTGCCCTTGTGTGCCCCCGAGCCCGGGCAGGGCCGCGGGGCGGAGCGGAGCGGCTCCTCCGCAGGCGGGGGGCGGTGCTGGCAGCGGCGATGGCGGCACTCATGGCGGCGCTGGCGCGGCCCTTCCGCCGTGGCCCCGCCGGCCTGGGGACAGCGCTCCGGCGAGAGGCGATGGGCGGCCCCCGCGGCCGGGGGACTCAGGTAGCCGGGGTGCCGCTCGATGCGGGGAGCGAGGCCGCTTCCAGGGACTGCTTGGAATGCGCTGCCCGGGGGCTGGGGAGTCACCGAGCCTGGAGGTGTTTTGGGGAAACCGGACGCGGTGCTCAGTGCCGGGCTGTATTTGGCGTGGTGGGGTTCGCTCGGAGGTTGGACTCGGTGATCCAGGGGCCTCTTCTAGCCTAATTCACTCCGATTCCCACGGGTGTGGCCGCCGCTCGCCCCCGCGGGGCCGCTCCGCCGGCTGGAGGGAGGCGGGCGGAGGCTCCGGCACCGCGGGGCGTAGCGAGGGAATGGTTTGTTTGTGCGAAAGCAGCCCTGGGCTCGTTTGAGCAGTGCGCGTTTGATTTTTGCTTGAAACCTTGTGTTTGCTCCGTACTCACGGTTTGTGTCCAGTCTAGTGCTCTGTTCGTTTTCAGGCGTAATCGTGAGCTTCTGGTGAATATGCTTCAAATCCTTGCTTGATGAAGTGACTTTTGTATTATGAAGATTTTTTTAAAATTGTAAAGTCTTTTTTTTGCTCAGAATCTGAAATGTAACCCGTGATACAGACAAGAAAAACCTTTTTTGACTCGGTGGGATAATGTTCATTAATATCTATCTTATGATCCTACACAGGTACTTAGGAAAAACCTTCAGAGAGGAGTTGTGCTTTCAACTGGCTCCTTTTTGGTTTATGAAGCTCATAAACTGATTTCTGGCTTTGCTGAGGTTCATGCAAGCTTCAAAGGTAATATTTTCTAATTTTGAAGTATATTGGGTATTCTGATATGAAACTTAAAATTTTTAGTACCAGAATTATAGAGGAAAATGGTGTAATGCTTTTGATTTTTTCCATTAAGACTGCATGCAGTGTCATTTCATGATGGGATGCTTTCGAATTGGTTATGGGTGATGTGGTAGCACTTCAACAAGTGATTGTTTCAGGTATAACTGAAAGCAGATTAGTAGCTCATCCTGTCAGGGGTAGAACACATGCACAAGGTGGATAATAACTAATTGGTTGCCCAATCTTTAATTACTGTTATTTACTCTGACTCTTAATGGGCCTGTTAGGAATGCAGAGCAAAACTTAATCTATTTCTAGAAATTTTAGCTAATTGAGATTTTCAGTATGAACACTGTGCAATTTCTGTTTAATCTAGTTGAGTAATACCAAGATAGCTCCTCATATAAAATTGAGAAATATCTTCTATCTCCCTAACACTAAAATACAGGAAGCAAAGCCTTGCTTTACCGACTAGAAAACAATTTAACAAGTGGTAAAATGTTTTTTTGTATCCTTTGCATAAGAATAGACTCACTGTGGGAAGGACAGTAACAATATCTTAAAAGGGGATATTGTTACAGACTTAAAACTTGCCTGTCTAAATAAGGAATTTCAGAGTAAGCCTGACTGAAAGGCGAATGAGCCTGAACTGGGTGCTTGCTCACTGCATAGTTGAGGTAGTAGCCAGTTCAGGTAACCTGTTTCTCTGTGCCTGCAAAAGAGGAAGATCTTAGATGTTTATGCAGAGAGAAATAAAAATTCAGATAATAAATTTTTAAAATAAGGAGCTGTTTCATGTGCAGGAGTATCAGTGAGTAGATCTGAAGTAGCTACTCTACACAATTAAGAAATAATAATAATGAGGAATAAAGAATTCATCATTTCTTATGAGGAACATGAACATAAATAACATTGCTTAGTTGGTCTTTTCAGTGCTCCCACATGAATCTGACACTTACATTGCCAAGAAAAGCAATGCTAATGGGCTTTCTATACAAGATGTGATAAATATGGTAAGAACAACGGTAAAATAGAAATTCTTGAAAAATACTCTAAAGTAATAAAAATATAATCATTTGCATAAAACACCTTGTGGGAAATGCATTCAGAAGTTTTGAGTTCTGAGCATTTAATCTTTAGATATGTTAGTAGTGTTCAGGTCAGCAAGCAAACATAACTATTTAGTGAAGATCATACTGAAGATATACCATGAAGCTCATTTTGGACACTAAAATCCAAAGCTCACATAGACCATTATCTTATCTTTGAAAGGGTTGAAAGAAGACATTTAGAGACAGCAAGGTTAAAAATTATCCAGAATGCATTGATTTATAGTCTAGAATATTTTCAAGCTGAAAAGGAGGCTTTTGTGTTCAGTTGCCTTCAATGTTTTGCTTCTGTAAAGAAAACTGTGCTGACTTTAAATTGGCTACCATATTTAGCAGGCAACTTGAAAAAAAAAACCTTATAAACATGATTAATTTTTATGAAAAGGGTTAGAACTTATATTTTGACTTCTAAGTTTCATCATGGACCCAGGAGTAATACCAAAGAGACAATAAGCAAAGGTAGGTCTGTAAAAAATTAGACAAGGCTTTTGACTTAACAGCTATTTTTTTAATGCTTTGATGTTGGCAGAAGAGTAAACTTGAAGCTTGTTCTTCTCCTGTACAGTTACATACATCAACAAAATTACCCATCTGCTTCCCTTTGGGTATTTCTCCTTCTAATTCTATCCTTTTTCATGCTATAATCCTCTATAGTGTGTGTTTGATAATTCTGTTTCCTGTATGCTGTTCCAAGTGCTATATTTATTTATATATTATTCATATATTATTATATTTATGCAGTTGTGGAAATTATATTTCCCCACCACTATTGTGTTTCAGAGTATTTTCTGGAAAAAGCATAAAAATAATGGAACTTAGTTCATAAATTGATATTCTAGAAAGCCAATTCTGATTTTCAAAATTATTTTTGCTATTAGTATCTTAAACACACAGGAGTTTCGGTACATTGTCTTTTTTGGGGTTGTATTTGGGAAAATCCTTTGGACTTCAGTCAGAAAACCTTTAAGCAATGTTTTGTTTTGGCTTGTGAGTAAATAATAGGACTCACTCAAACTGCAGTAATGTTCTGGCTAAACTGTGGAACCATATTGAGAATGAAGAATATTTTTAAAAGTTGAAGGTTTTTCATTGTTATTGTAAGATTTAAATTCTTTACATATACTAATGAAGGGGCTTTGTTACTCTCAACTCTGTACTGCACTTGCTCTCCTCATCCGTTTTCCATACTTTTTTTTTCTCTTCTACCATTTTCACAAGTTAAAAAATAACTTATTTCTAGTAGCCTGATGCACTGAGAAAGACACCTTGGGATGTTAAATCTGTCCAGCAGCCAAAGCTGTCATGCTGAAAGCTGATGTACTCTCGCTGGAGAGGCACCAGTTGTCATCCTCATTGTGCATTGTGCATGTTGCTTACTCAGTCCTGCTGTGCTTGTAAGTTTGAAGTGATGGCCTAAAAATGAGCTACGTTGTTTTCAGCTAAGTTGTCTTGCTTTAAAATGTTTTGGTGATAATGTCTTAATTAACTACCATTCATTCTTCTGTTTTCACAATTTTAATTCCGTCATAAGTGGAAGATGTGATTGAACAAGCAGACTACCTGTATGGGAGTGGAGAAACTGAAAAGCTGTATCGGTTGCTGGTTCAGCATAAAAACAGGTACTTCATTGCCTTGGGACATTAGTGTAGCTTCTTTTCTGTGCTCTTCTGTATCAGTTTTTCAATTGATATACTCATTGTGGAATGCTGGAGAACCTATGTTTCACCCTTAAGTAAGTAGGAAGGAAGGACTTGTGATCTTTTTCCTCCTGATGGAAAAATGAATGAAGAAAGAACTGATAGTTCTAGAAGGTGAGGGTTAACATTCAAGTTTTTTAGTCATGGTTGTTCATTACTTTAAGAATCCCTTAGAATACACTGCAAAATTCTGAAAGATATTAAAGTCTCTATTAAATTAGTAAGACAATGGTAGTTATCTAAAGTATAATGAAGTGTAATCAGTGTTCCAAAGCAGTATGTTAACAAAATGAAACTTAAGATCCATAAGTTTGGACTGTAACCTACAATACACCATTTGGTAAATGATATAAATAAATACTTAAAGGTACAGGTTTATGTGCTGGTGGTACAACTAATCTGTGGTTTTCCCACTGTTTTTCTAGGAAGAATTCAATAATTGGAATACAATTTGAAGCCAAAAAAAAACACCACATAATAATTTAAGTATTCCAAGTAGACATCAATACAAATCAGCAGAGTGCTGGAAAAATACCATCTAGCTAAGAAGAGAATACCTCTCCTTTTCCTTCTGGTCTTTTGAGTGGTACCATTGGGGTTTCTTAAATCTGTCTTTTTT